GGTAGGCAGATATTGTGGGTCTGATTGCGTTGTTTTGCTGATCAGGGGCTAGATTCACGAAAGCACTTACGCAAGCACTTACGAACCTGGTGCCAGATTCACGAAAGCACTTACGCAAGCACTTACGAACCTGGGGCCAGATTCACGAAAGCACTTACGAAAGCACTTACGAACGTGTACATCTTTCCTCAATCTTTGACGGCTTTGGTTACATTTATTAAACAGTTTACAAGCATGAAAACTTGCCAATCAACTGTTGTTATTGTTATAAACAGCCTCCTGGTGCTTCGGAGCTCATTAACTGTTTAATAATTGGAAACAAAGCCGCCAAAGATTGAGAAAAGATGGACAGGTTCGTAAGTGCTTTCGTGAATCTGGCCCCTGGTCTGGAGTAGTATGGTAAGCATCATGATGATAAGGTCCATGATAATAATTAAGAATTAAATGATAACTGATAAAAATAATAATTATGCCATTATAATAGCCGCTGGTGGACCGATATAACACATATCTAAGTAACTTGAGCGCTGGGTGACAACTTGAGCGTTGGGTGACGACAACATAACCCCTGGGTGACAGCAACATGACCTCTGGGTGACAGCAACATGACCCCTGGGGTGACAGCAACATGACCCCTGGGGTGACAGCAACATGACCCCTGGGGTGACAGCAACATGACCCCTGGGGTGACAGCAACATGACCCCTGGGGTGACAGCAACATGACCCCTGGGTGACAGCAACATGACCCCTGGGGTGACAGCAACATGACCCCTGGGGTGACAGCAACATGACCCCTGGGTGACAGCAACATGACCCCTGGGGTGACAGCAACATGACCCCTGGGGTGACAGCAACATGACCCCTGGGGGTGACAGCAACATAAATTAATTACACATCATCTTATATGTATCCCCCGACCTTATTAGTCATATACTGACATATTAGGGTAAGGAAAATAAATAACATTAATAAAGCATGCGCATCTTGTGCCGGAAGCTCTCGAGTAAGCAGTAAATCTTGAATAAGCTGCAAGAGGCTATCTATCTTCCTGTTAGTTCATAGCCCGTTGGGAAGGCGGCCGGAAGACCTGGGTAGACTTTAAGCTAAAATTCTCCTGACTGAAGATGATGGACGCCTGTCAAGGCAGAGCTGTCCGGGAGACAAACTCTAGATCAACGAGGCATTACTCAGTATAAACTCGCTACTAACGAGGCCTGCGAGCAGCCGCGTCCAACAGCTTGGTTGATCAGTCCGGCAACCAGGAGGCCTGGTCGACGACCAGGCCGCGGGGACGATAAACCACGGAAGCACCTCAAGGTAACCTCAAGGAGGGATCACTCAGTATTAACTCACTGCCAAACGAGGCATCACTCGGCATAAACTCTAGGTCAATGAAGGCGTCTTCGAGAGGCGGGGCCCAGGAGCTTGGAAACGACAAACTTCAGCATCTTATGGTAACATCCGCCACGAAGGGTAGGCACCAGTCAAGTGTTCTGATATTTTTACCTTTTAGTTTACCTGTCGCTCTTGTAATGGAGTTCGTTCAGGCAAAATTAATTTAATTATGTTAGGTTTCCTCGCAGGTGCAAAGGAAGGATGTGAAGGAAGGGGGAAGGGAGTGGGGGGGGGGAGAGAGAGAGGGAGAGAGAGAGAGAGAGAGAGAGAGAGAGAGAGAGAGAGAGAGAGAGAGAGAGAGAGAGAGAGAGAGAGAGAGAGAGAGAGAGAGAGAGAGAGAGAGAGAGAGAGAGAGAGAGAGAGAGAGAGAGAGAGAGACAGAGAGAGAGAGAGAGAGAGAGAGAGAGAGAGAGAGAGAGAGAGAGAGAGAGAGAGAGAGAGAGAGAGAGAGAGAGAGAGAGAGAGAGAGAGAGAGACAGAGAGAGAGAGAGAGAGAGAGAGAGAGAGAGAGAGAGAGAGAGAGAGAGAGAGAGAGAGAGAGACAGACAGAGAGAGAGAGACAGAGAGAGAGAGACAGAGAGAGAGAGAGAGAGAGAGAGAGAGAGAGAGAGAGAGAGAGAGAGAGAGAGAGAGAGAGAGACAGAGACAGAGACAGAGAGAGAGAGAGAGAGAGAGAGAGAGAGAGAGAGAGAGAGAGAGAGAGACAGAGAGAGAGAGAGACAGAGAGAGAGAGAGACAGAGAGAGAGAGAGACAGAGAGAGAGAGAGACAGAGAGAAAGACAGAGAGAGACATAGACAGAGAGATAGACAGAGAGAGAGATAGACAGAGAGAGAGATAGACAGAGAGAGAGATAGACAGAGAGAGAGATAGACAGAGAGAGAGATAGACAGAGAGAGAGATAGACAGAGAGAGAGATAGACAGAGAGAGAGATAGACAGAGAGAGAGATAGACAGAGAGAGAGATAGACAGAGAGAGAGATAGACAAAGAGAGAGAAAGAGAGAGAGAGCTATCCCTTCGATTCCTCTCACCTTATTATAAAATACTCCTGATATTAGTTCCACACACACACACACACACACACACACACACACACACACACACACACACACACATTCTGGGATGGTTTAACCGAGGAGATAAAGTAATTAGGACCTCATTCCTCTGTCCTTCTCAGATGTAATGTAATGAATCCTTGGCCGCCTTTTTGTCTGACTGCACAACCAGATGAAAGTGTAATTGAAAGACAGTCTTCCAACTTCTTAACTATTAGTGTTCACCTCCTCAGAAGTGCCAAGGCTTAACTAAGCACCTTAAGACGGATTTGCATATACATTTTTATCTATATTCCTTTGAGCTCTGCATTTTTTTCGTTCAGCAGGAAATATTTTGAAATACATTAATCAAATAATGTTTGTCATGATATGAACTATAATATAATTATTTCATTTGGGATCGTTCGCTTCTTCCAACTCGACCGGTGTTTCCCTCCACAATTTTTATATTAATTTCCTGACAGTTGCACCATTAATCCATGGGGCCAGATTAGAGAGGAAACAATTAGTGCAAAAATAAATCATTTTAAACATTTAATTCAATATGACCATTAACTTACTGGAAAGTTGAAGCGAACATAGCTGCATTTCATCACATTCAACAGCTGTAAGACCTGGGTCAAAACAATTCAACATCCACATTGGTTATAACAAATATGATATACGATTTGACATATACCCAACAGTTATAGGACCGTGGAAAGCTCTTCTACACATATGGGTTGGATATGTATATAATAATAATGGGTTGGACATGTATATGAGTGGGATTGGGTGGTTATAAATAGGATCTGCCTCGTATGGGCCAATAGGCCTTCTGCAGTTGCCTCTGTTCTTATAGGAAACAGAGCTCAGAGGAAAGCACAAGACACGATGGACTACATCACACAGACGTGTAAGGAGGCAGCAGACAAGTTCGTCTCAGTCCGAAAGGAAAAACAAAATTAAATTCAGACGAGAAACCCATGGTTTAATCAGAGACGTAGGCTAGCATAGCAACATAGTACAAAGGCAAGGAGAAACTATAAAATTAACAGGAGACTTGAGAGCAGAGAAAGATACCAGAGTGCCAGGAATGAATATGTCAGAGTGAGAAGAGAGGCAGAGAGAAAATACGATAATGACAGCAAGAAAGGCAAAGACTCAGCCTAAATTGCTGCATAGACACATCAGGAGGAAAATAACAGTGAAGGAACAGGTAAAAAACGTAAGCGCGCAGGACTCTTAATTCTGTGGCGCGGGTTCGATTCCCGCACCAGGCAGAAACAAATGGGCAAAGTTTCTTTCCCGCTGAATGCCCCTGTTACCTAGCAGTAAATAGGTACCTGGGAGTTAGTCAGCTGTCACGGGTTGCTTCCTGGGGTGTGTGTGGAAAAAAACAGTAGTTAGTGAACAGTTGATTGACAGTTGAGAGGCGGGCGTCTCAATGTTCAGAGATGAACGTTCAATGAGACGTTCATCTCTCTCTCCCATTTCTATGTGGATTTTCCACATATTATATATATATATTAAGCATTATGTGGCAGCATTCGCCTATGTTGCACTGTGCTTCTCTCACATATTTTGACATTAATTTTCTGGCTGTCACACAATAAATCAAAGTGTCAGATAACGCCAGAAAACCCTTAGCGCAAAACAGACCATAAATCTGTCAAATTCAGAATGGAAATAAATTTTGAGGAAGATCGTCGCATTAACCATTGACACATCTTCATTACATCACAAGTGCACTCAGCCTACGGGCTCGCCATAGCCCGTGCTACTTGGAACTTTATGTTCCAAGCACAAACTTTATGTTCCAAGTAGCGAATCTTTAACAACAACAAGTGCATACACACACCTTGTGTCAAGGTCTTGTGTCAAACACAAGACGAAGCTGGAAAAAGTCCAACGGTATGCCACTAGGCTAGTCCCAGAACTAAGAGGCATGAGTTACGAGGAAAGGCTGCGGGAAATGCACCTTACGACACTGGAAGACAGAAGAGTAAGGGGGAGACATGATCACAACCTACAAAATCCTCAGAGGAATCGACCGGGTAAACAAGGATGAACTATTCAACACTGGTGGGACGCGAACAAGGGGACACAGGTGGAAACTGAGTACCCACATGAGCCACAGAGACGTTAGAAGGAACTTTTTCAGTGTCAGAGTGGTTGACAAATGGAATGCATTAGGCAGTGATGTGGTGGAGGCTGACTCCACACACAGTTTCAAATGTAGATATGATAGAGTCCAATAGGCTCAGGAACCTGTACACCAGTTGATTGACAGTTGAGAGGCGGGACCAAAGAGCCAAAGCTCAACCCCCGCAAACACAAACAGGTGAGTATACACATCAGGTGCTGGGTAGTACGGAGTAGCTTCCTATGACACACAATAACATCAGCAGTAACAAGAACAAATAACAATAAATGGAGGTGAAACAGTTTGAGGTTTACGGGTGAGAACTTCGCTATAACTCCCAAGTCCTCGGCCCATTCGCTAAAGCAACTGCCAGTTCGAAATAGTTTGGAAACGAAGGGTCGTTAGCACATTATGTTACGTGTTCATGACGGGAAATGTTGATGATCCAATATCTCCACGTGTTCAAGATGACCCAATATCTGCACGTGTTCAAGATGACCCAATATCTCCACGTGTTCAAAATGACCCAATATCTCCACGTGTTCAAAATGACCCAATATCTGCACGTGTTCAAAATGACCCAATATCTCCACGTGTTCAAGATGACCCAATATCTCCACGTGTTCAAAATGACCCAATATCTCCACGTGTTCAAAATGACCCAATATCTGCACGTGTTCAAAATGACCCAATATCTCCACGTGTTCAAAATGACCCAATATCTCCACGTGTTCAAAATTACCCAATATCTCCACGTGTTCAAAATTACCCAATATCTGCACGTGTTCAAGATGACCCAATATCTCCACGTGTTCAAAATGACCCAATATCTCCACGTGTTCAAAATGACCCAATATCTCCACGTGTTCAAGATGACCCAATATCTGCACGTGTTCAAGATGACCCAATATCTCCACGTGTTCAAAATGACCCAATATCTCCACGTGTTCAAAATTACCCAATATCTGCATGTGTTCAAAATGACCCAATATCTCCACGTGTTCAAGATGACCCAATATCTCCACGTGTTCAAAATGACCCAATATCTCCACGTGTTCAAAATGACCCAATATCTCCACGTGTTCAAGATGACCCAATATCTCCACGTGTTCAAAATGACCCAATATCTCCACGTGTTCAAAATGACCCAATATCTCCACGTGTTCAAGATGACCCAATATCTCCACGTGTTCAAAATGACCCAATATCTGCACGTGTTCAAGATGACCCAATATCTGCACGTGTTCAAAATGACCCAATATCTCCACGTGTTCAAGATGACCCAATATCTCCACGTGTTCAAGATGACCCAATATCTCCACGTGTTCAAAATGACCCAATATCTGCACGTGTTCAAAATGACCCAATATCTCCACGTGTTCAAGATGACCCAATATCTCCACGTGTTCCTGCAGTTCATCAATAAAAATATAATATAGCGCACCAGATCAATGTCTACAATTCAAAAATGTGATCAATGGTGAACAATGTGGTCTATCGCATTATCTTAACAAGATATGCAAAACTATGGCCACTACAACACTTCATAAATTTCATGAATAAATAGTTTCAAGATAATATTTATGAACGGAATATGTTAAGTGAATAACTTCCTCTCATATTGCCTAGATACCATTCATATGAGGACCAGACCGTTATAAAAAGTCATGTTATCGATTGAAGTATATTTAACAGTTGATATGTATTGAAAATGTTGATATGATGATATGTATAGAAAATTTCTATAGTTTATTTTCACGGACGTATAATTTCACAGTCGTTCTCTCTACACCAAAAGAGCAAATTTTGACGCTTATGTGATCCAAAAATAAATTAATTAATTAATCCGTCTTGCCCATATACTGGTGACCAGCACATGGTCACTTATCAAACATCTCGCAAGAGATATTTGATAACTTAATAACAAAAAATGATAATCAATTTCAGGCACAATAATTAACCTCATTAAAACAAATAACGTTCAGGTGATTGTAGCTTCCAAACTGCCACAGACAACTGAACTAAAAACAAGCGAAGATCTTGTATCAATAACAAACAATTGGGACTTACAGAAATTACGTGCTAATCAACAACAAATTTGCTTCAAACACAATAATTACCAGTTGTTATCACTCAGAACCACTTAGGATGTTCAATATGACTAACAGTTAACAGGGGGCCTGTTGCTGAGTGGATAGCGCTCGGGACTCGTAATCCTAGGGACCGGGGATCGATCCCCGGCGATAGGGGAAACAAATGGCCAGAGTTTCTTTCATCCTGATGCCCCTGATATCTAGCAGTAAATAGGTATCTGGGAGTTAAGACAGCTGTTAAGGGCTGCTTTTGTGTGTGTGTGTGTGTGTGTGTGTGTGTGTGTGTGTGTGTGTGTGTGTGTGTGTGTGTGTGTGTGTGTGTAAAAACATTTCAGTCGATTGATTGACAGTTGAGAGGCGGGCCGAAAGAGCCAGGGGCCAGATTCATGAAAGCACTTACGCAAGCACTTACGAACGTGTACATCTTTCCTCAATCTTTGACGGCTTTGGTTACATTTATTAAACAGTTTACAAGCATGAAAACTTGCCATTCAACTGTTGTTATTGTTATAAACAGCCTCCTGGTGCTTCGGACCTCATTAACTTTTTAATAATTGGAAATAAAGCCGCCAAAGATTAAGAAAAGATGTAAACGCTCGTAAGTGCTTTCGTGAATCTAGCCCCAGAGCTCAACCCCCGCAAGCACAACTCGGTGAATACTTAAGAGTACTGAATATAACTACCACTCAGAAACACTGAATATAACTGCCACTCAGAACAACAAATCATTACCCAGTCGAGCAGGTTGCTGGCCGCACTGAACTAGCTTCTCACTTCTGGCAATAAAAAAGGACGTTTTTTCCCCCGGTGAAAAATTCAAAGCCCTAACTAAATATTTGTCAGGAAAAAGTAATTTTATCACACACCCACACACACACACACACACCACACACCCACACACACACACACACACACCCACACGATAAAAAACTTTTTCAGTTTAAAAGTCGTAAATAAATGGAAAGAATGCTTTGAGCATTTGCATTCGAATGCAAAGTATTAGGACAATGTATTGACCTAATGAACGTCAAAAGGCTAGTTTAAGACCCGATGCTCCACCCTGCAAGCTCAACTAGATGAGTATAACTAGATGAGTAAAAGTACTTGTGATCAAAGAGTGAGCCACTCACTTAAAAGAGAGAGAGACAAAGAGAGACAGAGAGAGACAGAGAGAGAAAGAGAGAGAGAGAGAGAGACAGACAGAGATATTGGAAGACAAGTTCCCCACACCACAAAATACATAAAAACACAGCTATCAGGCAGTAATTCCCCCTTACCCAATTATCTACAAGGAAGATCCCAACATCCAGAGAACACTCCTTGTGAACACACACACACACACACACACACACACACACGTGAATACATTTCGTGTGACTATACGCACACACACACACACACACACAAGTGAATACATTTCGTGTGACTATACGCACACACACACACACACACACACACACACACAAGTGAATACATTTCGTGTGACTATACGCACACACACACACACACACAAGTGAATACATTTCGTGTGACTATACGCGCACACACACACACACACACACACACATATTCGAGCAGACATTCACACACGCACCGACGCAAGAGTTGACACAGGATGGAGAGTGAACCTGAACGGAAATTGACGGATGTTGGTTTTTGCACTTGTGAAAGCGATGCGCGTGTTTGTCTGTCCTACCGAGTGCATAGAAGAGATGGCTGGGAGGAGAAGGAGCAGGAGAAAGATGGGTCGGGAAGGAGCAGGAGAGAGCTGCCTACACAGAAGGTGGTGCGTAGAATAAGATTAAGATAACGGTGGTGGAAGTGCATGGTGAGTTTAGGTTTAGAACTGTGAGTAGGGAAGGTTATCTTGATGTTATCTTGAGATGATTTCGGGGCTTTTTAGTGTCCCTGCGGCCCGGTCCTCGACCAGGTCTCCATCCCCAGGAAGCAGCCCGTGACAGCTGACTAACACCCAGGTACCTATTTTACTGCTAGGTAACAGGGGCATAGGGTGAAAGAAACTCTGCCCATTGCTTCTCGCCGGCGCCTGGGATCGAACCCAGAACCACAGGATCACATGTCCAGCGTGCTGTCCGCTCGGCCGACCGGCTCAGGAGGGAAGGAAGCAAAGAAGAAAGGAAGAGTGAACAGCATGGATGGAATAGAGATGTGTGTGTGTGGGATAGGATAGGTTAGGATAAGTTATGACAGGTTAGGTTGGGTATGGTCAATTTAGCACATGCTTTTGAGTCCGTTCTGACAACTCTAGAGGATGACCTGACCTATCCTCACTCAGTTAGTATTTTTAGTATCGTTTCTAGTATTAATTATGCACCGAGCATCACTCCAAGCACGGCCAAGCACGGCCAAGCACGGCCTCCAGGTACGTTCAGCGACACTCTTCAAGCCAATGTCGCTAATGCAGATTCAACGTACCATCATTTGCAGCAATAACCAGACACCGGAATGATGCTTGAGCTGGCTTTGGGACATGTTAAGATCCAGAGCACTTATTTTCCTGTGGTCTGCGAGGGAGTGCCATGGGAGCCGAGTGCCATGGGACCCGAGTGCCATAAGTTCGAGCTCACAAGGAACACCGCTGTAATTATCGGAAATGGCGGATATATAAGGCGTCTTCATCAACCTCAGATGATTCAATTATTACACACTTGAGAACCTCTTAACGCTCTGAATTACCGTGGAAATGAGGATGAATCTCTACATCACACGCGGATCGGTTCAAAGCTCCTTGAAGAAAGAACTTTGGTAGAGAGCCGGTCGGCCGAGCGGACAGCACGGCCGACACCACTTGTGATCCTGTGGTCCCGGGTTCGATCCAGGGCGCCGGCGAGATTGGGCAGAGTTTCTTTCACCCTATGCCCCTGTTACATCTATGCCCCTGGAAGATATCTTTAGACACGTAACGAATGCTTGAAAATTTCCGAATGAATCATTGACAACTTACAAAATCATAACACCTAACAGGGTCCACCTGGGTCATTAGTGAAACATTCTCACCCTTCAAGAACCATAGTTACAAAATATATGATCCAATTTTGCGAGCTTCCGCTCTTATTTTCCAATTGGTTTCCACACCTTTGTAAACATTTTCTTTCAGATATATATAAATTTCCTCGTTTTCTGCCATGATATGGATAAATACAAGGACCTCTTATGCTCACCAATAACTGCAAGAATCGATCAAATTGATCACGAAGATATTTACATGTTGGCGCTGATCCAGAAGGAATAGTGAAAAGGAGCAGAAGAACGCAAACATAGGTGACATCGCCAGAGACTTTCTATCTTGGCCGGAAACTTCGGGAGGTGTTTACCAGGGAGCAGCGAAGACCCTTGAAGCCTTCTGTCAGCATCTCCACCGTCTGTGGCTCTTGTGAGAAGGGGACAGACCTCCACCGTCTGTGGCTCTTGTGAGAAGGGGACAGACCTCCACCGTCTGTGGCTCTTGTGAGAAGGGGACAGACCTCCACCGTCTGTGGCTCTTGTGAGAAAGGACAGACGGCTGTCAAGATCTGCTTAGTCAGTAATAATTCTGCTGCTACGGCTTCTGAGTTTGTTTATGCAGCAGCTGCTCCTTGAGGTATTTATGCTATATATCTGTTTGTTGCTGCTTCTGTTACTGCTGCTGCTACTGTTACTGCTGCTGCTACTGTTACTGTTGCTGCCGCTGTTACTGCTGCTGTTGTTTTTCCTACTGTTGCTGCTATTGTTGCAACTGCTGTTACTACATCTGTTGCTGTTCCAACTATTATTGTGACTTCTGTTACTGCTGCTGCTGCTGTTACTGCTACTGTCAATGTTGTATTTGTTCTTGTTGCTCATGCTGCTGCTGCTAAATTTGTTCTACAGGCTACATTGTTCTAGTAATGCTGATAACGGTGACGTTACGGACAGTGCTGGATTGATAACTGATATCGGGGTTACTTTAGCTGATACAGATACTCTTGCTGATACAGATACTCCTGCTGATATAGCTGATACCACTTCCGTTATCACTGCTTTATACTATTAGAGATCGTGTTCGGCGGTTCTTCTGGCAGCTACCCTCTATGTCTGCTTGATTGGTGGTCCATTTTGGCTTTTGGAATGGCGCGACTGAGCGCCAATTTACCGCCAACTTTCAATTTCGAGGTCAATAGCTGGCCCCACTAAATTCACGAGTTTTCACAGAACGAGACGGGAAGGTGAACTGGGGTTGAGATAAAGGGGCAGCGAGCAACTCTCCATCACACAAAGATTGGGCCAGTTGCTGGTAGTGAAAAACTGTAACATTGGAACGTTTCCAACGACGAGAAGTCTCCTACGGGCTCAC